ATACAACATATACGTCTAACAATTCAAAATCCAAAGTTTTTTTAAAAATAAAATATAATAATTCAAGCTCTTAATTAATCCGTTCCAATCAAGGTGAAATCCTTATGAGTTCTAAGAAGAAAGTTAGAGAAGAACTCATCTGAAATTTTTGAAACGAAACTAATGCTTCAAGTTTTAATTGTCTCTTTCAATTCTGATGTCCTCTTTCTTTAATCCGGCCTCCTCTTTGTCGGCCTTCTCTTTTTTTCTCTCTCTCCGTGTTTCTCTTATTTTTCTAATGTGTAAGCTTTTAACCCTAAAACCTTATGTGTATATTTATACCCATTAAAATTCAAATCCTATTCCAACTAGGACCATCAAATAAAATAATAATGTTTAAATAATATATATCTATAAACATATATTATATTACACACACACACACACACATATATATACCTATATATATCAATATATCCTTCCATAAACAAGTTTTAAAAACTTTTTGAGGGATTTTCATTCATAGATCTTGATTCATCACATAGAGACAAGTTTTATACAAAAAAAATAAAATATGATATATCATTCAATTAATAAATTGAATACTTATATTAAATGTCTGAGTAAACCTTTAAATCTTTCCTCTAAAGTGAATGTTCTCATTTATTATAGATCCCTTAGTAAGATCATTTCTTCTTCTTCTTGATAGTAATCTTCCCTTTAGGAATCACCAATATACCTCGATGAATAACCTTAGAGGCAAGGCTTGTGGTAACCTCCTTTAAAAGAGAAAGCAAACCCTAAAAATTAGGGAGAGAAAATATATTTCTTTTTCTTCCAAAAGTTCACCTAAAAATATACATGGACCCATATATATATAGGCAAAATAAAGATAAGAAAAGGAAACAATAAATCCTTTTCAATCTCTAATTACCATATCTCAATTCTAATAGGATTCCAATATCAACTTGGGTTATGGGTGAGAATTATTTGGGCTTATTATTTTCTTGGCTATTATAAATTAATAATTGGTTTGGTCCATTAAACTATGGACCCAATTCAATTAATTCATAAATTAATTTCTACTTTACTAAAAGAATTTAATTGCACTCCAATTAAATAGTAAATATCTCTAAGTTAATGTTGTACTTTGACCCCTCTATGCATAATTATTTATCGGATTATAAAGCCATTAATCCGACAACATAATTAATATAATTATTTTGTTACCTTTGATTATTTCTGACTTGATCACAATAAAAATTTGTTTGACAAAAATAATAATTTACTAAATAAATATATAGAAAATATTTTGTCTAAAACATACGAAGACCTTCAAATTTAATTTGTGATCAACTATAATCAATACAAAATAAATACAAGTAGAACTGATGCAAATATTGATAATATAACCCTCTAACTATTAATTACGTAATTACCCAAAGTGTCGGTTTAAGGACTTCGAAGTATCCACCGAACAAATCAAAGTAATTATTAATTAATAAACGAATCTATACCTCTCTCATGCTTGAGAGTCAAAAATCATGACTATGATAGAGAATAATTGCATACGACGGCTTTAGCAATATATCTCAACCTATCATGGATTCGGTTCAAGTCTTAGTTAATTAAAAGTCCATATATAATTACCAACTTTGAACCATTTATGATTACTAATTTATAACTTAGTATTAATTGCCATTACATACATATATAAATATATTTTGTAATTACGTGGATACAATCAATTCCATAATGAACCAGAAAAATAATACATTCCATTCACCAACTGTATAATGCCTTAATAATAATATTTAGATATGGAACCACGACTTTTACAATTCAAATAAGAATTTGACATGCTAGGGCACACATATCCCAACAGCTCCCACTTGTCCTTCTAGCCAATTCGAATCACATCTAACTCTCATGTTTTCCATATGACGATTAAATATCTTGATCGATAAATCTTTTGTGAATGGATCAATAAGGTTGTGTTCCTTTGTAATGAGAATTAAGTATAAGAGACATTTACATCATTTAATTTAAAAAAATTAAATTTGAAAAATAAAAAAGAATGCATTTATAAAAAAAAATTAGTGTATTTATCATTTCTCTTTGTAATTTATGATTTTCTCTTTTGGAACCCAAGGATTTTACAGTGCAAAACGTGCCCAAGAAAATGTTGGCGGTGTTAAGTATTGTCAAATCCACTTTCATCCGCGCCCACTGTTTTATTAAATTTTGAAGAATCTATACATTCAGGCATGTGTATATGTGTGTATATCTATATATATATATGTATGTATGTATTTGTGTGTATGGAAATGACGGTTCAAGCCTCAAGCTATGAATAAGTGTAGAGTCACTGTATATAGTCTATTATCAATTTGATTAATTTCAACATTCTTTTTATCAATATTTACTTTTCCTTCTAGATGAAAATTTAAAGATTTAAATCCAAAAACAGGACAATAGAAATGTATGTGATTGACTTATCAAATAAGAGACAAGACCATTTGACATTTCTCTCCAACTTCTTTGCAATACCTTGATATATATATATATATATCAATTTGATTAATTTCAACATTCTTTTTATCAATATTTACTTTTCCTTCTAGATGAAAATTTAAAGATTTAAATCCAAAAACAGGACAATAGAAATGTATGTGATTGACTTATCAAATAAGAGACAAGACCATTTGACATTTCTCTCCAACTTCTTTGCAATACCTTGATATATATATATATATATATATATATATATATATATATATATATATATCCATAATTTTGTAGAATCGATCGAAGCTACTCTTCATGAGGAAAAAAGATTAAGTAGCATGGAAACAGTCTCACATATTCACACCATCAGGTCTGGATCAATAGACTAGGATAGGAGGTGTACGTCTCTCAATTAAACTCCATGGAATTTTCAAGCATTTACTTATATGTATAAATATACATATATATATATATATATATATATATATATATATATATTGTAATATCTTTCCATCTCACGAGTTAATTGGTAGAATTGTAGGTCTACGAATGCTATTTTGGTGCATTCAACTTCCAATTTTTTTTAATAAAATGTTATTTTGGTGTATGTATTACTATAATTAATTAGTAGTTATAAAAAATTGAATTTGCACATAGCAGCCACGACTTTTTCCACACTAAAATAAAAAATAATTAGTGGTGGCCATTGAAGGTAAGTGACTCCATCAGCATTTGAAGATACAGAAGCAAAAACTAAAAATTATATATTCATTTATCTCCCTCTATATCTATATATATATATATTTCAGTCAGTTGTACAGACCTAGCAATACCGTACACATTCAATTCTCAACTCAAACTCTCAAACCAAAGAGTGTTGTCATTAATGTTATTTAAGAAACTTGGATTTTTGAACAAAGCCTGATCCGAAATTATATATATATATATGTAAGTGTTTGGCAGTCAAAGGATACATAATTGTACATGTAATTAATATAGTAATTAAAGAAGCTTCTGATTCATGGAATTTGCAAAGCATTATAGTCAAGCTCATAGCCAGCTTTGACAGGTTGAACGAAGAAAATAAAACCATGACCATATATGTAAACCATTTACTATTTATTTATTCATATGCATATCTATTCATATATCTTCTTGATGTATATATATGATTTTGTGAATTTCTTTACATTAGACTGATTAAAATTAAGCTGAGTATATATATATATATATATATATATATATATATGTTGGATTCTTAGTACTATAATATTGACCAAATCAGCAATGGAGCCACGTCACTAATGACGTACGTGCCTAGGTACGGACAAACCTTATCTTTGACTGCCAATTCCAACCCAGTTTGACCAATTACCGCCTAGTTAGAATGTTGACACACATGAAGCATTTTTTCTTGTGGAAGGTATAGAGATTTTCTGCGGAAGGTATAGAGATTTTACGGGGAAAATTCCCCGTAAAATCTACAGATAAAGGAAAACATTCTAAGTTTCCGAAAAAAATAAGGAGGCATTTCTCCAAGCCAAAGTTCAAAAACGGAAGACACACACACACACATATATATATATATATATATATTTTTTTTTCTTTTCCCTCGAACTTAGTTTTTAAGAGGAGGATAAAGGTTAAACAATAAAATTTGAGCAATGATATATATGTCGATGCCTATGTTGCGTTTGGAATTATTGATGCTTTGAAACTTGAATTATAATTGCAGAAAAGTTAGTTTCAACTTTGAAGTAATTTTTTTTTAATTGTAAATTCAAGACCAATTTAATGCTTTCAAACATATTAATGTATTTGATTATCTGTCTAAAAACAATGTGATATACTTGGGACACCCAATTATTTGTCCAAACAATAAAAAATATAGAGCAGTGATATACTTGCCAATAAGTTTTGAATTTTTTTTTTTAAAAATTAGACTATTGGGTATCGATAAGTTATGAATTACCCAAAAAAAAAAAAAAGAAAAAAAAAGAAAAAAATTATGTTGTACCTGTTTTATTTATAGTTAATATAATTCTCAGTCAGAAAAAAAAAAAAAAAAAAAAAAAACCTGCTAAGACCATTTCATGAAAAAATAATGTTGATCAATTTCAAACACGAACCAAACAACCCTAATAATACGGGATTAATGTTGGGCTAGCATCATGCATGCATCTCTAAAACTATTAACCTGATTAATTTTAACTCAGTGTTTGCTTGTGTGATGATTGCCGCTAGAGATGTACAAAGAATTGGTAGAATATAAGATGAATAATGACAAGTAGATCAAAAAATTAATTTCAAATAAGTACTAAATCTAACCTGTTTTTATTTATCTCATTTACTAAACCGTTTTTAAAAATTAATTATTTAACAAGTGATAAGAATGACCAATCACATTTAAATTTTATATTAATTTGAAAATTCTTTTTTGTTACTCATATAAGATTATCCATTTTTACGAACCGTTGTGGTTGGAAGCCCAAATCCACCTCTGTAGGCTTTACCCGCCATTATCTAAACAAATTTCCCTTTTGAAATGCGCACCAAAATCCAAACCAAAACGACAACCAAATTCAAAATCGTAATGCCCACATTGTGAGGAATTATTATTATCTAAAAGGAACACAAAAGCAACAAATCAAGAACCAAATTACTCACCGTTCGTGAATGCGAGCAGTGTGGTGGAGAATTCTCGAACCCTAAATCATCGGCACTTCATTCTCCAGGCAAGTCTATTGTAAAACATATAATGCTGTGTGTATAAAAGTGTGTTTATACATAATTTCTACACTACGACTGCATATCCAGAGGCATTGCAATCTAATATAAAACAAAAATTGGTATGTGAATTTGTATGTGTGTCAGTGTGTGTGTATATATCAGGCTTTAATTTTATCCTTTGGTTGATTGATGCTTATTACTCTGTCATCTGAATTGATTGCTATCAGATTAGGTTATCTATGAATGTTCAAAGTGAGCCATAAACCTACTGTTGCCTTTTGGCTTGCATAAAACGATGACATCAAGTTGACATTTGTTTGTATAAAACTGCTTACATCTTGTATTTCACATTTTATTTGAAATTAAAATATTTATTTTGTTGATATTTGATGAGCATATTGCTCATAATTGTGAGTGTGATTTTTATCTCTCAATTTACACTTGGATAATTTTAATATAGGTTGCTGACAATGATTTCTATAACATCATGGAAAATTTGGATGGAAAAGTCAGTGTTATGCGAATTTATATACCTTAAAAAAATTTGGTTTCTCCTATGTTCTTCTCATTTTTTCCGTGTTCATTTACCATTCTCAAAGATTTTGTTCAGAAAATCACTTGTAATAGTCACTGTTAAGACATTGTGTTCATTTACCATTTCTCAGCTATTCATTCTTTTTTCTTTTTGTGTGTGTGTGTAAAGAAAAAAATAAAAGCTAAAGAAAATGAAGATTGTTTGGCTCAAAGTGGTCCACAGCTTCCAATTTCCACAACTCTTTCAGAAAGGTAACTTGTATGGTCTGTCGGTCGAGATGGGTACTAAGTACAAACAGTTAGTTGGCTTTCTTAGTTGTTCCTTTCTGATTGTTTGCCTAAAATTGTTCATATGCCTAGAAAAGAAATGATTAGTAGTTCACGAGAAAATCAAGTTAATAATAATTTCAATATGTAACTTTTGCTCCCATTATTACCGAGTCATGTCTACTACCAAGGAGTAGACCTTAGTTTTTACATAGATTACTCATAATATTAAGAGGAGGACCTCTTTTGTTATTATTTTCCTCTCATGCTCATTGTGACATCACCGCTCGGCACTCAGATATTGGTAGCAAACCAGATGATCAGCTCTTCTTCCTGCCTCCTAGAGCTCCAACACCAAGTCTACAAAGCAAACAATGGAAATAGGTAAGGTCAATTACCAAAATGTTAGGAATTGCAATGAACACACTACACTCTATGTAGGAAAATATATACTATAATAATTTAGTCACATTAGTGCTCCACAAGTAGTTATATAGTCACTTCTTTTTTTTTTTTTTTTTTTTTTTTGTGAAATTATAGATATAAGAATGCAAGACTAGAACAGGGCCAAATAGGAGGTCTCTTTTTTTTGTACTAATTAAGACTAGAAAAGGCAGAATTACATCATTGTCAAACCAAAAATGATTTTGTAAATGCAAACATCTATGTGGACCACACTGTAGGTTCTGCGCATTCAAATTATAATTACCATAAAGTCATGGAACAGCCAATGAAAATTCTATAGTGGATTCGGGGTATGGTGCATATTTATACTTACAGTCTGCATCGGTATTGATCCAACATTCCCTGTTTCCATTTGAATCGCTCCCACTGAGTGTGACTTGGGGTGGGTTAGACTGGCTCTTGAAGCATCGTATGCTCACTTTTGAGATGGCTCTGTGAGGAATTATTATGATATCTTCATCTGGAGAAAATTGATCTCCATTGGCACACCCCTCTTCATAGTTGAAGTTGTACGTGATCTCTTTTTTGGACATTTCGTAATTTTGAATACCTGTCGAACTTTCAGGATGGACTTTCCTGCGGAACATATGTAAGATCTGCAAGCCCCAGATCATGGAATAAGGAAATTTAACTGGACATTTAGATACATGTAGGATCAAATTCAGTAAAATACTTTGAAAGGCTTATTATTTCTTATTTTTCTACATAAAATATGTGAAGCACTGCAGATATTTCAAATTGGTTTATCTAATGGGTTGTGTCATCAATCAAATGGAGACTATTTTTTTGCTTTTAATTGTGGGTCCATTGGCAGAATTCTGCATGACTGGGGTAATGTGCTCATGATATGCTTTGAAACAAGTTTTATTATCAGTGTTTATGACCAAATGCTCTAGAAGCTTTACCTTATACTTATAGAGCATTTGATTAGTGACACGGTATTAGAGCATGCAAGGGGCCCAAGCTTGAATTTTACTGCCTACCTGAAATCTATAATTATTAGGCGGATATAAAAATTGAAATTATGATTATTTATTATTTATTATTTATTTTTTGCACTGGTATTGTGTTAGTGATTTAAGCTTTTAAAGGCAGTTGATTCTTAACAATTAATAGTAGAGACTTTCTACGGTTTTCAGTTCTCTCTACACCTATGATTTGAAAAATCAATTTAAGTTCACAGAACCAGTTGCGATTCTTGTGAAATCACTGATGCAACTGGTGAGTCATACTGATGACACACACACACACACACACACACACACACACACACACACACACACATATTTATTAATTAGAAGATATTAAAGACTATAAATATTCAATTATAAGCAAATACAAGGACTAAAAGTACGTGTAGTAACTTGTAACCTATCTCTCAATGTAAACATAAACAATCAGATGGCTGTGAACCATCGGATTAGTTTTGTTTACATTGTATTTTTTGTAAACAAAATACAGATGATTTTATAATGATCCTGTGAGTTCCACATAGATAATCTAGCATTTGGTACTAGTAAATGTACCTTGTGCAGTTTTGTCTCTGTTGAATTAGAATCTGCATTTCCTCCAGTAGCAGCTACGCTGGAGATCCGAGAGGAAGCAGGGAACATTCTTCTCTTCTGCATCTTTTTCATGAAGTGCACAGCAGATTTACCAGTTTCCTTCTCTGTTCGCTTTTCTCCTCTTTCAGATTTAGCTCCAGAAAAATTATCTTCCGTGCTTGTCCTCTGAAACAGCTCCCCAAGTGATACTCGATGTTCCTTCTTTGCCACTGTTATTTCAGGCAACTCATTTGCTGATCCAGAAACACAGCCTTGGAGTGAACAGATTATTGTACCACTCCCATTGGTCTCCGTGATTTTGTTTGGCTTGCCACCAAGTGTAATAGTTTTAGCATGACTGCTTCTCCCAGTGCTAACATGACTATTTCTCCCAGATGACTCATTAAAACCATCTTCTTTACCTTCAACCTCTAGAACTGTCTCCAACTCGCAATTAATTAACTTCAGTTCATCCACTGTTACTCCACTTTCCTTTTTAGTTATGTTATCCAAGATGGGGAATGTTGGTGTTGGTGGATCAGTTATGACTGTGTCTGAACCAAGTGTACCTATGGGAAGGAAGCCATGGAAGAGCTCAGAGATTGCAGCTGATTCTTCTTCTTCGTAGTCTTCTTCTTCTACTCTTACTGCTTCTAGGCTGGTGAATGATTTTCCACGGTGATTGTCTCTTTGTGCTTTGTGTAGGGGCCTTGTGCCATAGTTTGACTTCTGGTGGTATTGTTGATCATCCAATAATGGCTGGCCTGAAAGACAAATACAAGAATGCCTTTACACAAAATGTTAAACTAATTGAAATGGTGGTGGGGTTTAACGGTGGGGGGGATTTTACCAGTGCATTTTGCAGGAATGTCACTTCTGAGCTTCTTTGAATGTGTCTCAAAAAATTGGAGGCAACTTATCGCTTGTTTTATGTATAGCACAAGGGTCACTATTCATTGGTTTGTTAACACCGACTCTTATGGATTTATTTTATGTTTATATCAAATTTGTACTCCAGCTTGAAAAATGAGGCATTGGAAGTTGCCAAGTCTACACTCTAAAGGTCCTGTGTGGTCACTTCTGTTTTTAGTTTTGTGAAGCTTCCTCTATGATCGAAGCTGTCTTTCCCTGGAAGCCACCTAAGCTATCAAGTTTCCCATGATCTACTATTTGAAAACTAGATTTGTATATCCTTGGCAGGACTCTATTCTGACAACCAACCAATAACAAAGTTTAATGATGCACCTATGGTACGACTCTGATTGCTTGTTCATCAACATGACTGCTATTACTCTAAGTGATGCATGCCTAGAAAAACATCGTAGCAGGAAATATGCGAAGAAGAACACAGGACTTACTGAAGGGAAAGTCCTTGAGTGGTTCATTGCTATTTTGCTTCAATTTACGATGCGTCGAACAAAGTAACTGCAATGAAGAAATAAAATGATGAATTTAGAAAGAATTGGAGGTAGCTTTGGCCTTACCAAGTGAGAGAATTTGGACTTACCCTCATTTTTGTTTTGATTTCTCCACCGAGCTTGATGTTTGATCTCTTTGGTAGTAAGGAGGGGGTGAGAGAAGTTGATTTCTAGAAGTAGGTCCATGACTTACTCTTTAATGAATGTGATGCCAAAACGGGTCCCGAAGCCCTCCAAGTGCCTGAGGTAGGAGCAGGTGGAGAGAAACATTAAGAAAGTTACAAGATTTGGCTGGCTAGTTTTTTGTCATGTCAAATTATGTGGCCAAAATAGGAATGGGCTCAGGACCCCACAAGCCGATGTTTTTATCTGATCCCATGCAATTATGTTCTTTTGCGAGTTTGGGTTAGTAATTCTGTCAATGCACCTATCTCCAAGGCATAACTTTCATCTTACATCCATCACAGCGCACATTCAATGGAGTAAAATAGCTTCTCAAGATGCATGTGAACATGTTTCAGGGGTGCCTTGTTGCAGTTGTTCAAGTGGCTTTCCACATTTGACATGTTTTTGTTCATGCACTGTCTGCATGGGGTAATAATGGATTTTCCATTCTCATAAACATCAATATTTTACTAGATATATGATACACAGACAGGAGGGAGTCTAGAGAATATTTTGTCGAATCTAATAGGTTCAAAGATATATAATATGACAAAGTAAAAGATCTTTTTCCATTAGGAACCTTAACGTTTAATTCGTAATACTAGATTGAAAGGAGTTTTTAATTCTTTTAAATTGGTCTTGAAAGCCCTTGTCTGGTATACTGATATAACTTTAATTGCCTTAATCTGGAATAAAGACTTTTCAAGTGTTGCTAGCAACTTATACCTTACTGTGTCCTTGAACAGGCCATGCTCTGATCAGATATGGTATGTCATTGCAGGTATGACCAAACCTTAAATATGCTTTGATTTGAACTACTGTTCTGTGTTCCACTGTGTAGCACTTGCTCTGATATATTTCGGTTTCAAGTAGTAACCTTTATGTTTTTTGCCTTTTTACTAATTGTGATTGACGAAAATGTATTATTAACCATTATATCTTTGTTCCAGCTTTGCATTTAATTACCATTTAGAGGAATTATAACCCCCCATCTCTCTGCTAATTTTTCATGTGCGTCAGTAAACTTGCCACGTGTGTGATCAACTCATCTTCATGTTCATAAAAGCCGTACTGGAAATGTGTTCTATTTCATAGAAGGGGCCCCCACTGGAACATGTCTCTCAGCTTTGAAGAAATTTGGTGCACCCCACATGCATTTTTATGATTAAGAGTCAGCTGACATAAGATAAAAGTTTTTTTACATGTAGAGACAGTATCAAGCCAGACCACTCTTGATGGGCACAAACATCTTTAAGAATTCTTTAACAATTTATGGTTGACAACAGATGTGCACAACCTTTTATTAATTTTTGAGATTATTTTATAAACAAGGGGCAAAAGGGAATATACTTTATTTTAATCTGTCAATCCTACTTGTGTTAGAAGTTCTTTAGATCTCCTAAGACCGTGGGGAAAAATACGTCAATTTTAGATGAACCTGATACTAATTGTGCTTGACCACTTGGACGCAAGTAAACCGAACAGCCATATGTCGTCGTTTAGAGGATTAAGCTACTGATTTTTTATACTCTAAATCGCTTTTTTATCTAGCTGGAAGTAAAAAAAAAAAAAAAAAAAAAAAAAAAAAAAAAAAAAAAAAAAAAAGAACTGTAAATTGTAATTATTTGGAATTTCTCTATGACCACCTTTCATTTCCAATGGAAATGCCCGACTTAAAACTCTTTGCAGTGGAGAAATTAGAAGTCATACTATGAACAAATTTGTCAATTATTTCCCACTTTATACTAACTGTCCTGATATGTTCATCAAACAAATAGAATCTTTAATACCTCTGACATGGATTCTTTGCCCTTTTATGCGTGTTCGTGCTTCCTAGGTTAGAGTGAAATCGCAGCGTAGATCTAAGAGAACTGGGCCATACGATAATAGTGTGTTTCTTTTTATTACTAGCTTGGATCACTAGAAGTTGTTAAGCAGCATGAACTGCAAGCCTTAGAAAATGCGACTTAAGAGAAAATGTGTAAATATGATTTTAGGAAGCACAGCAACAGAAACCAAACCACTTGTTCTGGCGGCCTTATTAGCATATAAACTTTTTGTGTATTTGAATGCATTCTTGAATATCTATCAGCAAGAAAATGCATTCTTCAATACAAATTGTTAGAACACAGATCAGTAGACTATCTTTTTGTCATATTTCTGCTGTTTTTATGTGAATTATGCACATATAATCCTGTATCAATTATTTTTATGGCTATTGTTGCGCTTTGACTTATTTTAGATTTAACAAGGGCAGTCCATAAAGCAAGTATTAAGATCCTATTCTCCACCACCATGATTTTTGCATACGGTTGCCATATTTAACAAAATCTTTTTAGTTGCATTTTATGATTGTCTTAAACGTATATTGTTTGACACTAACGTTTAAATCACTACTTGTCTGAACGGTGTTGTACGAAAAAAGAAGAAGAGGTTATGGTGTTATTTCTAAGCTTTAGATATAGAGTTATCGTTTTGTAAAACAGTGACCTCTCAATTTGGGGAGGATTTTCTTGTGGGTGTCTGCCAACCTTCCAATTGGATGGAAAATATATATATATATATATAGATGGGTTGGGAAATAATTGAGGTCAAGTGATTTCTATGTCTTCTTCTTTTAGGCAGGCCAACGAAAGGCAAAAATACAAAGTGATCATGGACCACTTCCTACCACTGACATGAGGGAATTAACTCTGAAGGAGACTTTTAAAATATAATGTGATGATGGACAATTTTCAACGTGTTGAGGGTTCACCATGTATGGGGGACAACGTGAGTGAGTTATTTGTCACGATAAAAAAAAATTACATATACTCACCCTATCTCTCTATACATTAATCTACATATATGTTTTTATACATATATATTAGATTGAAACTATGCACAAATCTGCATCAAAATGCATAAATCTACACAAAAATTAACAGAGCTCTAATTTTTTATGATAAGGAGTAGTTAGAACTTAGAACTGACTGTTCGGCCTAGATAGAGAAATTGGTAGACAAAAATGAAATTGAAGAAGGGCAGAGATCTAAAACAAAAATAAAAGAACCCTTAATCTTTTCCGAGAATTCCAGACTCTCATATAGTGTGTCCTACATAAAATCTTGTCATGAACTACTGATGGTAAAATTCTTCTGAATGTTTTAAGAAGCTTAAATGTTCAGATAGATGGTTAGAATCTAATACTTCTATCCTTTAGCTCAAGTGGTATTAACTATTATCACCCTCTCCTGCTGTATGAGCTAGGGTCCAAGTAACCATTATGGACAATAGTGGAGTGTTTTGGTGTTTGTTTGTGAATGTCTTACATACCAAAAATTCAAAAGGGGATAATTAAAAATCTAATTAGACCCACCTTAAATAATCTCATTTATTCCCATTAACCTTAATGTTGTCATCATCATTGTATAATGATTTTGGAATGACTCCATGTATTTTGACATTAATAGTTTCCATAACTTTATCAATTCTATGGTTAGAACAACCACCTAAAAAGTATCCATCACTATCGCGAGAGTCAAACTTTTTTCTATCGCACAATATATAACATGGACGTCCAAACGTTATTACTTGGGATTAGGTTTGTTAACTATATAGTTCATGGTGTCTTATCAGTGTTTGGCCTGAAATAAACTTTGATCATGGTGTTATACTGAAAAGCAGTATTTACATCCTCAATCCAAAAATGTGGAGGTCCAAAATTTGGGTTTTTAATACGTGAAGGATTTGGCATTCTGGATTGTTTGTTAGATGTCACTAAGAGATTGACTTAGATTCGGCCTCAGCTAACCGGTGTGTGGTTAACCTTAAACTTATGGGAATTTTACATATAGGTGGTAGTAGCAAAGGTATATTAACATGGACTGAAAGTCAAAATATTTTATTTGAACCCTTTAGTATTAGAAATTATATTTTCACCCCCAAAAGTTTACTTTATGCACAATTTACCCAAAGAACAACTTGTTCAAGTCTTAGAATTTTGTCAAACAACACTTAGAAACTGCTACATAGCACTAAAATTAGGAGACACAATGCGTAGTCTACAAAGAAGAATCGAAGAACTCAAATCTAGAATTATAATAATACAAAATATTTTAGAAGTTAGACGGCAATGATTTTAGTTTATGAATAGAATAGACTTTAATAATTTAGGTAACTCTATAAAACGACTAGGAGAGAATCTTGATTATATTAAAGAACAAGTAATACAGAATTTTAGTCCAAATAATTTAGATAACAAGATAATATTAGTCGCAATTAAAGATATCAATAGTGATATTAAAAACATTGCTGAAAATCAAAAAACAATTATCGACTACTTAAAATCCCTTAAAACCGATATCCAAAGGTTATTACAATAGTTTTATGAGCACTAGTAATCCTGATTATCTAACCGCGTTAGCTGAACTTTATAAAATTGATAAAGAACCTATAAGATTTACAAGTTTTAAAACCGACGTACAATCAACTAATAACATATTAGACAAAATAACTTTTTAATCCAGTTATTACTCTAGTTATCTCATAAAGTTAATAAGCTTGAAGAGAAGTTAGAAGTGATACAAGAAAGTATTCCCAGAGAATCTTCTAAAGAATTATTTGAATTATCAGAAAAAATAAAAGAAATAAAATTGTCAACCAATAACCAATCCTCTCCTACAACAACCAAGCGTGTGAATTTACTACAACCTTAACCTCATAAGCGAGTACCACAATGGCCATTATCCTTAGAAAGACCCAAGAAATAATGAGAGTAGAAGATTTATACGATAATGAACATGATGCTAAAAAATATATAGAAAAAAGAATGAAGAAGATAAAAAATAAAGTCAATCTTTATTCTAATAATTTACTAGACTTCCAGAGCAAAATATATAATCATTTTAGCCAAAGAAAAATAAGTGCAGTCAACAATCAAATTATTTTA